AAGGTCCGCGCCGCACGTAGCGGGAGCCGCGCAGCTGGGCGGCCCCGCAGCCGCCTCATCGCCACGCGGGCTGTGGCCTCTTGCCGTGCTGGCGTGTGCCTCTCACCACCCTGCTCACTGAGGGCAAAAATAACCCATGCAGGAGGGAGAAACGTCCCTTTTTAACTCCAGTCAGTTGTCTTGATCCCATCTCTCTCCCTCCCAAACAATTTTGAGTCGAATGAAGAACATTTTGGTCGTCAAATAAGTAAGGGTGGGCCCCATTTGACCCTAAGGGGTGTTTGGAACGTTTAATTTGACTTACGCCCAAAACGGTAATTTAACCTACTGGGTTTTCTTCCACGCCCAGGAGAGACTCACGGTGAAGCAAGAGTCTACGGAAAGGCTTGTGTGCCATTAGCTCATTAACCTCGTTACCTACTGAGTAATTACAGCGTGCGGAGCGCGTGTGCAATGCTCCTCCGGCGGCGCGTGGAGAAGGATGTGGCCATGGGCTGGTGGCCTCGCCGAGGACGGAGCAGCCCACCCGAGGGTGCTGCTTTGGCATGAGCAGGTTGTGTCCCCAATGCAGTCGCACACATGTCTGCCTTGGAGTGGCCTTCGCCAAACGGGAATCTCAAAACAGGAGCCAAGAGAGCTAAGGGTGCGCTATGAAAGCCATCCAGGGAAACCCTTGCTCCAAGAGCTGTGCGGTGAACGGCATTTGCTGCCTCTTTTGGCGTAAAAGGTGAGGAGTGGTTAAAACGAAAGCAAACTCAGGTTGAAAAGCCTCACAGAAATCAATTAAAACCCAGGTAGTTATAGTTTGACCTGGAGCAAAGTCTCAGACGGAGCAATTACATAGCCTTAAAGAGGAAGGAAGGCAGGGAAGGCAGGCAGAAGGCTGCATGTGTGGTACCGGTGAGACGCTCCATGAGGCTCCACTACCTGCATCTCCCCCAAACCCTCCGGGAGAGCGGAGGGAGCCTCGTTCACCAGAACAGGTCACCCCCCTCCGCCGTTGTGGTTGCTCCAAGGAGCCAGAGCTCCAGGTTGTAGAAGTCCTCCTGACCTTTCCCCAAGCACCGGGCGCGCTCCGCTGCCCCTTGGGTTGGTTTTCTCCTTAGCGCTGATGGGAGCAAAGCCAGGCCCAGTTCCTCAAAAGTCTCTTGGCTTCTAGGCGCTGGTGCCTGGCTGGGGAGGAGCAGCTGGAAGTCTTGTGCCAAGAAGGTCCCAGCACAGCCATCCGCGCCTGTGCCCCCCTCTGGCAGCCCCTCAGAACATGTAGGCTAAATAGTGCTGGGTGTCCCAGCGAGGACTTTCTGGCTGGAGATACCAACCACGCGCAGACTCTGAGCCTAGAGGAGGCACCCAGGAGTGTAGGGTGCCGGCAAGGAGCTTGGCCCAGGCTCCTTCTGCATGTGCCACATCCTTCAGCCTCACTGCACTGGGTGATCAGCCATCCTGAGCACCCCTTTGATGGCCCAAGCTCTCAAGGCTGCATGTGATGATCTCTCACCTCTCATGATCACCTATTTGTTCCAGATAAAGTCTCCAACAACCCTAAAGCAACCCTCCTGCCCCAAAGAGCCCAGCTGCAGGAGCCGAGGGCCTGCATTGCTCTTGCATGCAGATGAAGAGAGTCGAAGATGCACCCATGGCACAAGCTCCAGTGGGAGCCCCGAGACAGACCTTCACCCTGACAAGATGCATAGGGAAGCCCACGACCTGCGCCTGGCTCCTGGGGGAGGCAAGAACAGACGCGCAGCAGGAGCGAGAGCCCCCGAGTGTTGTTAAATGCTCAAGGCCACCCCGTCCGCAGCCTTCGCTGCGCTCTGAGCCCTCAGAGTCCCTTCTGAGGCCATTCTTTTTGAATGAAGGACTAAAATGAAATAAAAAAAAAGAAGAAGTTTTTGCTAAACTTTTTTGTTCTTTATTTTTTCCCCCTTGGAGCACGGGCCAGAGGGGAGTTTTGCCTCCCGCCGGCTGCTCTCGGGGGTGCCCAGTGTCACTCGCGTTGCTGGGGGGCCCCGGGCTGCTCGGCTGAGGGTCAGGAAAGCGCCTGCCCCTCCGGAGGGCCCCGGCCG